GCTAATATCTGCAGCTTTTCTTGGAACTCAGGAGACTTCTATAGAGACAAGGAGACGTCTGTGGTGGACATGAACTCGGCCATCGGAGATCCTGAGAGGTCATCTTGTTCACTTCTTTCAGGCTGGGCTGTCTTATCTGTGCTGTCTGAAGCCACAGATAAGCTTCTGCAGGGACAGAGGATCCGGGAGCTCCTCAGGCATCTCATTGGAGTATTGGTCTCTGATTCTGATTTCCTGCCTGAATCCAGTATGCTGCAGTTTTTGCCCATTTCTTACTATGTTTAAGAAGTTTGAGTTCTTTTTCCCCACAAATCTGGGTGATAATGCCTAGAACGTGGGAGCAAACTTTGAACCTTGAACTTGGCCAGAACACTAGCTCCTCAAGTGTCCCAGGAGCAGCCACCTTCGGCTGAGCTTGGAAACGGAGGAGTACTGCTGCCCTCTGGTGGCCAGTCAGCAGAGCAGCAAGGCACCCTCTGCCGGTGGTCAGGTTGGCCTTTGGGACCGCAGCTTTGAATCTTCAGGTAAATGAATGTCCTTTCACTGTTCCTTGAATACAGCAATCTAGTCCTTGCCTCAGGGTCTCTCCCTTGCTGTTTGTTTCCATGGAACACACTTCCTCCAGCTCTCTAGTGGCAGCTGTATCCCTTTCTCTAGCTCCCAGGCCAAACGTCACCTCCTCAGGGAAGTCCTCCTGGACCACTTTGTCTAAAATCGCACCTCATTACAGCCCTGTCCCTGCCCCGTTGCCTTGTTTCACTGTGTTCTTGGCACTTACCTGCTCTTTGGGGATACCTGTATAAGTTCTTATCATTGCCTCCCCCCCCACCACCAGCTGTCAGCTCTGGGGGATCAGAGCTCTTGTCCAGCCCTCAGGGCAACTAACATAGTAGATGCTGAACACTATTTTTTGAAGGAGTAGTAAACGCATATCAACAATAGCCACTGAGATGTAGGTGCAGCTTCTGGTCCCTAAAAATCACACCTTGACATGGGCAGGCACCTGCCTATCACCCCCATTGGACAGATGAATAAACTGAGGCTGGAGAGATTTCTGTGAGTTGTCCTGAGCACCCAGCAGAGGGGAATGAAGAGAGTCCCTGGCAGCTTTCCTGTGCGCCCTCTGTCCTCTACTCCAAGGGGAGCCTCAGGGCTGCTGAGCATCTTCTGGGAATGGAGGCAGGCCCTGCACGCGGGCTTCACACCCTCTCTCCTTGGCCTGGTTACTGAGGGAGGCAGAGCTGCATCATGGTCTTGTGGCTTTGGGGGTGTGAGGCAGGAAGGAGCAAGGAGACCAGTCCACAGGACGCTAGGAACAGTGGCCTATCTGCAGAGATGCGTTCTGGGGAAGGATTGTGGAAAGAGCAGGCAGAAAGAAAGCTGGAGCCATTGAGGAAACTGTGACTCCTCCAGGGCCAGGAGTTGCTTGTGACATTCTGGGCTTCATCCGGGGCCCTGAGGGTGCAACCCC